CTAAGGCAGAAAGGGGCAGGTGGAAGGCCAGAGGGAAAGCTGGACTTCAAGGGCACCAGCTCGTTCCCTCCCCCACCCCCTTACAGCCTCCCTGTGCCTGGCTCAGTCCAACACCCGTCTCCGAAGTCTCTGAAATCAGCAGGAGTTCAGCGATTCTCGTACCCAGGCTCTTAGGAACGGCTCAGAGCGATGAGCCATAGTCCCAAACCCCTGGTTACTGCTCTTTTCTATTGCACCTCGACCAAGACCAGTGCACGTTCAGGATCCGACCAGTAGCTTAAAAGCCCTTGAAAAAGAAACTCTTCCCCCCAGGCAGGCAGGAGCCCCGGCCATTCAGGAGAGAATATAAACTGCCCCAAGCTCTCCTCTGCTCACTGTCTTTCCCTGATGTAAGAAATGTTCCACTGGCAGTACAGGGAAGCACATCCCCCCCACAATGGGAGTGCCTGGAAGACGCATGTTTGCGGAGAACCCCAGGTCTGAACTTCAGCCCTGCCCATCTCACCTGGACAGAGTTCGCAGAATGGGCTTATGCTCTGCAGTGCATTAACAGCCCACTTTAACTTGGGGCACAGAGCTTCTCTCGTGCGGGAACATCAAGGCTCACAGAAAATTGCAAGTGACAGCTTGTTAAACAAAGCGGAGGCCCCGGGAACTGCGACTGCAATGCCCAGAGTTTGGATTGCACATTCAAAATGAGTTTTGCTGCTCTTCCCGTCTGACCCCCCCGGAGCAGGGCACACACACAGGTGCAGGGATTTCACCACGGAAGGTTGGTCTCTTATCTTGCAGGAATGTTGCAGGCAAGTCAGACTTGTAAGCCACCTTGGTGTGGGAAGGTGCCCTCCTTTCCTTCTTGGCTGGTGGGCACAAGTTAATTATCACCGTCATTTTTTACATGACAGATCAAAACAGAGGAATTGGGTCTCCTGCAACTCAGCACAACCCCCAAAAGACCAAACACAAAAAGAACAAAATCGGCCATTCCAATCTAGTAATTCCACTGATTCTCGCCACCGAGATAAAAGTCAGTTTCAGCAGCAAAAATGAACATGCTTCAGGAAACTTCCTGAATGGTGCAGGAGTCTCCGCTGGTTAGCTAGTTTCTGTATTGCCATCTGCATCCGGAATCTCAGCGGCTTGACAAGAGACCTTGATTTGGAATAGTTTACTTCTGCCACGTTCTTTGTCTGCATTTCAGTTTCTTTGGGAGTCATGTATTTGTTAAGCAGTTTGCGAGAACCACCCAGGATTCCCACTTACGAAGGAGAAGGGACACGTTAAATACACACATCTGGGGTGTAGGATAATCTGACTTGTGTTGCCACTTGCTTCTCGCTCACTGGTGGAGGAGGGATCTTGCAGAATAGTTGCTGTCCTAGCTTTGCTTTAGTCTCATCCTATAGGACATAATAACTCAGGATGCAGATTCTGAGCGCACCTGTCTCCCCACTGCCCTCTGCTGGGAGACCTTTGTGGGAGCTCCTCTAGAGCAGTTGTTCTCAACCAGGGGGACACAGACGGATCCAACGAAGTGGGTATTCACCCACGAAAGCTCACGCGCCAATACGTCTGTTAATTTATAAGGCGCCACAGGACTGTATACAGGCAATGAGGTTTATATTGCTCTATATACTGTGCACTGAAATGTAAGTACAATATTTATATTCCAATTGATTTATTTTATAATTATATGGTAAAAATGAGAGTCAGCCATTGTTCAGTACTAGTGTGCTTGGGACACTTTTGTATTTTTAGGTCTGATTTTGTAAGCAAGTTGTTTTTAAGTGAGGTGAAACTTGGAGTATGCAAGACAAATCAGACTCCTGAAAGGGCTACAGTCGCCTGGAAAGGTTGAGAGCCCCTGCTTTAGAGAAACCTCTCTCTGTTTCCCATCCCTGTCAGCTAACAGATTCACCCAGTTCCCGTGTCTAATACCCTCTGGTTCTGGAAACTTGCAAATCAGCCCTCTTGTCCTTCCCCACTTGCCAGCTGTGACCAGTGTTGGCTTCCCACCTGTGGAGAAGTCAAAGCAACATGGAAACACATTCTGCCTGTTTGCTGCCAAGCCAGGAAAGTCTCTTTTTCCAATGGCAGCAAGAATCTGTCACTCAGTGACTAACACGGCTGCTACTCTGAAAAGTGACCTGTGAGTGGCTCAAACACACGTCCCTCCCACCCTTGCCTCTCAGAGAGCTCCCCTAACAAGCTCTCCTGCAGCCACAGCATTTCCCTGGGGGCTAATCTGACTTTTTCTACAAGCCACCTGGCTGCCTGACTCCCTGGACCTACGGGGTTAACAGGAGCTCAGGCACTAACAGCTTTTTACCCCGCTAGGACTCTCCACTGCCCAGAAGAGGTCTCCTGTGTAGAAGGACGGGTCCATGTTGGCCTTGCATCTAGACTGCACAGTCATAGAAATGACTGAGTACGGAAAGAAAAAGCAGCAACGTGAACAAAAACATTTGATCAAATGGTGGGGAAATTATTCATAACAAGATCAAAGTTTAATCTCTCAAGATTAAATTGTTGGCCAATTCCTATGGAGAGGGACATGGAGATGGCTCCTCTCCATTAACTGTGGCTGGGGAATGGATTTTCATGCAAATTAACACCAACAGAGGGAGAGACAAGGACACAACAAGCCCTCCCCGGCTTGCCTTGGGGAGGTTTAAATCATGGAGAGGGACCTGCAGAAACAGAACGGGATTGGAGCAGTGGGAACAAGCCCCTCTCCACCAGGGAAGGGCTCTGGCATGCAGACAGAAAGGCTCCTCCGTTCTGCTCAGGTCAGGCAATTAAAGGTGTGAGCCCCTAGGGGAAGGAAGACATTTACAATGGGAAATTGTGCCCTGAAACGTGGCCTGGAGAAAACAATGTAACCAACAATTCTAACGCTCTCCTATTCCCGTGGGACAGTGAGCCGCTGAATCACTCTCTGTTAAGGAGTTTCACGTGGCTGGGTTGCAAGAACTGATTCCCTGAAGACATTTTTGTGATCCATAAATTCAAACTGTAACTTAATCACGCAATGGACTCACAGCTCCATGGAGCTCAGAACCTCACTGTCAGAATAGTGACTGTCGTGTAGCTTTGAAATAGCACAGTACACGGAGAGCTAAGGGCTCTCCCGTGGGCCCAGGGCTACTAGATTGCGTGGGGCCCCTGTCTACAAGTCTTTTTCCTAATTTAAAACAAAATGATCACAATTATGGCACCAAGGCTACCAACGCTATACTAAACTTGCCTTCTAATTAACAAAGCCGTTCTGTGGTTACATTTCAGTCTCAAAACATGTAGAATATAGTTAAGTTAATTCAAAATATCCTGCTTCTTCCCTTAGAACAGCTGTTATATTCGTTTCTTTCTGGGAGGGAGTTTGGTGCAGGAGGGGATTCTGATCTGGGGCAGGGGGTCGGGGTGCAGCAGGGGGTGCGAGGTGCAGGCTCCGTCCGGGAGGCGCTTACCACAGGCAGCTCCTGGTCGGCAGCACAGCGGGGCTCTTGGCCGGTTCCCTAGGAGCAGGGGGGCAGCGCGCAGAGCCGCTCCCCCCCCCCACCCATCAGAGGCCACAGAGACGTGCCAGCAGCCAGCCGTTTCCGGGAGCAACGTGGGGCCAGGGCATGCAGGCAGCCTGCCTGAGCCCTGCTGCCCTGGGCCCCCCCTTAGCCCAGGGCCCTGGGCTGCAGCCCCTAAAGCCCCTGCGTTAATCTGGCCCTGTCTGCAGCAGAGGAATGACTGTCCATCTTCACTGCTGAGCAATGGGCTTTTCTAAACCCAGCACGCTTCTGTTCTCTGTATTCTAGCAATGAAAACCCAGCCCGAGTGTCACAGAGCTGCTGTTGTCTCTTCCCATCTATCTGCCTAGGCACTGGTATGGTCCTCATCACTGCTGTAGTATCTGCGTGTCCCTGAGTATCCAGCAGACGGGGTGAAGGTGAGAGGCCTGGGGGGGGGGGGCATTGCCAAGTCCTCGTGTGGGGGAAATCCACTGGCCGAGCTGTATGTGAGCAATCACCTCCTCCCAGCAGGCAAAGCTACGGAAACACCAGCCGAGCAGTGTAAACCCCTCCGGCTCGCTCAGCCATCTTAGAAAAACTCCTAACAGCTCATGAGAGCAGGTAGACAAATGAGAGGATCTCTGGCTTCCTGGTGAAGGTGCCAGGAAATGGACTAGGACAGGAACATGGCCAGCACATTTGGGAATGCAGGGAACTGTGACGTGACTACTCAGCCCTGCGCACTGTATCCCCCAGCCTCCCAGCCCAGCACTCTCAGGGAGTGCCTACGGGTCAGCAGTTCTTTCAGAGACTCTGGAAACTGCTGCTCCCTCAGCTAGCACCAGCCCAGACCCTGACGGCTTGGCATGGAGCACGGGCTGCAGCAGAAAGAGGTGCAGTGCTGGACAGGCCAGTTCCAGGGGCAGATGGTCTCATGTTACTGGGGAGACATTATCCAACCAGGCATTCCCAGGAGCTCTGCCGAGGAACGTCACGCCCCAGCACTGTGTCCTCAGAGCATGTCTGGGATTCCAGAAACAGCTGCTCTGGATCACACTCCTGCATATCAGGCCCAGTGGCTCCTGTATTCGTCACTTGCTTCAAGAGGAGCATATTGGCCCAGCAGTGGACATGACCTACGTCCCTTCTGTAAAGTGATGGCCGCTGCGGGTGCTAACCTGACTGTTCCTCCCCGGGAGCCCTGGGGCTCAGTGCTGCAGAACTGCTCAGAAAACCTTGGACTTTCCAGGAGAGCTCTAAGTTAACAAAAATGGTCAGAACTCTAAGACAGTGAACTTCATTCTAGGCTGTGCCACTGCCATGCTGGACAATCGCCACAGGCCGCAGAGTCAGCCGGGGGGGGGGGGGAGGCTCTCCACACCACTCCCTTTTTACCCCTTCGGGATTCTTGCATCACAAAGTGCAAGTCCCAGACGTTCACAGGAAGGAGCGGGGCGGGGCGGGGTTAAAGCAGCAAGTGCAGCCAGGGGTGGCCCGTACCTGTGAGGCTGGTGGAGATGTTCACTTCCGCGTACTGAGGCTTTGACAAGGCACTGAAATCAGAGACGCCATTGACAGCTGCCACACGGATAGTGTAGTTAACATGTGGTAGCAAGTTCACCAGGGTAACGGTCCTGTCCACCAATCCCGTCTGCTGAGGCACAAAGCCAACGCTGCTGCCACACTGCTCGCACTGCCGCCGGAGAGCCGCCGAGCAGCGGTCACAAAGGAGGTTATAGGTGACGTCGGTCCGGCCGCCCAAGTCTGCTGGTGCGCTCCATTCCAGAACCAGCGTGGACTGCTTCAGGCTGTAGATGAGATTCCTTGGAGCAGATGGGGGACCTGCAAGCAGAAGAGGGAGCGTTTCACTGCATGTGCACTGGGTGCAACCACCAGCAGCACCAGTGCGGGGCCGTCACAGTTATAACCACACTGGCACTGCCACTGGAATTCAGGGGAAATTACAGAATGGCAGAGGAAAAGCTGGATCCAAGACAGCCTGTTTCTAGGGCACTCGTAATGCCATCCAGTAACACAAGGCGTCACTTGGGCAGCCTCAGCCCTGTGCAATATGTGCTGCAGGTGCAGCACGGAGAGTGTCCACACTGAAGCAACGTTTTAAAGAAAGCTCTGAGCAAGGCAGAACAGGATTAATGATCGGTCTCCCTGCAGTCTGAGGCCTGGTCTACACTACGGGATTAATTCGGATTTAGCAGCGTTAATCCGAATTAACCCTTCACCCGTCCACACTACAGAGCCAGTTAATTCGAATTAAAGGGCCCTTTAAATCGATTTCTGTACTCCACCTCAACGAACGGAGTAGAGCCTAAATCGATTTTGTTAATTCGAATTAGGGTTAGTGTGGCCGCACACCACCGAATTACTGTGTTTAAAGTAATGGGGTAGTGTGGCCGCACACCACCGAATTAATGTGGTTAAAAACCGAATTAAGGTGCTTAGTGTGGCCGCGCACAATCGAATTTATACAACCTGTTTCCCAAATTCGAATTATCTAAATTCGGATTAATCCTGTAGTGTAGACATACCCTGAGTGTACGTCTGCACTGCAGAAAAAGGCGTGTTCTTAACTCAGGTTAGCTAATCCGCATTAGCTAACTCAAACTGCTGCATTTTCACTGCTACGTTAGCCTGTCTTTTAACTTGCATTAGCAGCTTAAATGAATGCCTGTAGGGGAACATGGGGTTGCACTCAAGCTGCTAACTGGAGTGAAAAGCCAAGATGCCGTAACTTCACTATTTTAACCCAGATTAAGGACACAGTGCAGTGTCCTTGCAGTGCAGACAGAGCCTTAGTGTCGGATACCTGCAGACACTTGACACATGCCGGCTACTCACACTGCTCCAAGCTAGAGACTTGGCTTTGCTTGCTTCACACGGTGAAATAGCTTAGAGCCAAGCCATCTGGCTCTGCAGTGAGGCCAAGAATAAGACACCTCTCACTCGGGCTAGCTGTCAGTCAAACCACGAAGGCTGCTGCTTATTATATAAGCAATTCTAAAGTGCTCATCACCGTAGTATCTATTAATCAAATGTAATTAACTTGATGCCATTTAATTAAAAACGTGAGCCGTGCTAGGCTGTGTCTATACAAGCATGCCCTCGTTTTATTGGGGTAATGCCGGCAATCCTTACTGGCATGTTCAGAGCCCCAGATTTCAGGCCTTGTAACCTCCGACTGTGAGCTCCCTGCGGTAGGGCCTGGCTTTTCCTATCTGTTTGGAGAGCACCGAGCTCCTTGCGGGTGCTCCTGGAATAACTCCCGGTGATGCTAATGCCCCGGGACACAGCTATAGAGGCCAAGCGGCTCTGCCTGGGTGTTGGTGGCCTTGCCACCCGGGTTGGGGGCACCTCCTTGGCCTATCATAGGCTTGGCCAGCCCCAGGGCAGTGGCAGCTCTGGCTGGCTCCTCTCTCTCCCTTCCATTTACCGAACCACGGATGTTGCTGGAGAGAGACGTACGGGTGCAGGAGGCAGATGGCGGGTCTGACGGGGACCGGGAGTAGTTCTTCTGGCACGTGCAGAACATGGAGGCTTCTCGATGTGTGAAGCTGCGTTCGGGGCAGGGAGAGCAGAGAGGGAGTCGGGGGGATAGCTTATAAAATCCAGTAGGGCAAGCTGTGAAGAGACAGACAGACTGTTATGGCAAGCCGAGTTCTGGCAGCACAAGCAAACGGAGCAGTTGTTAGTGACCAACCTTCCCCAAGTCCTGAGGCCCCCTTTGCTTTGGGTCTCAGTGTTCAGAAACCTTTCCGCGGAGTCAAGGTTGCCAGATTTTAGCTCCAGCAGGTTGGAGAGGCATGAGGAGAGCAATGGGGGGCTCTGAGCGAGGACAAGGAGGAGGTGGCTGCAGGATGAGGCAGGTGATGAATAATGCATGGCCATGGGCTTTAGGAGTCAGGAGGGACAGGGAAAGTTCCAGAGAGGACACAGATGCAGCAGCAGCAGCAGGATTTAGCCACAGTCTGAATGGGAGGGAAGAGCCAACAATGACAGAGCATTTACACTAAGGCCAGAATGGTGTCCGTGTAAATGAGAATCAAGCCACAAGGCTGCAAGCCTGGGCAAACAGGAGGCGTGTGGCTTTACCGACACAGGAGATGGATTGTGGGCGGTGAGATGGTGTAATATAGTCATCGATACTGAATGATACGAACTTACAAACTAATAAACTTTTGGTTCCCATGTAGTCTCTGTAAATTACCTTTGAGGTTCAACCAAACAAGTCATTAGTTTCAATGGTGACCCTAAAAGCATTTGGGAAGAGAGAAGCCTGAAAACAAAATGCGTGAGAGTCGTGGTGTGATCAGACAGACAGACTTGGATAGACGCGCTTTCCTGCACGGCTTATGGAGCAGGAGTTCCAACCAGGACCCCTTTGCTCTATTGGGCAGCTCCTCTGTCTGTTGCGGGAGCCACCTCCAGCTGAGCCAATAGGGGCTGCAATGAGGTTGACTCAGCTGGAATTCAAGCCGAACGTATGAGCAGAACATAACTTTCAGCACCACACTTTGCTTGCTTCTCCTTCCTCTCATTTGTGAGGTGCTGCTGTCTGCTATGCAGGGCCGGCTCCAGGCACCAGCCCACCAAGCTTGTGCTTGGGGCGGCACCTGGAGGGGGGCGGTGCGGCGCTCTAGCTCCGGCCGCCGGGGAGAGCGGGGCCACGGCCGGGCTCGCCGCCCTCCCCCCGGCGCTCTGGCCGCCGGGGAGAGCGGAGCCCCCGGCCGGGGCTCGCCGCCCTCCCCCCGGTGCCCTCCCCCCGGCCGCCAGGGAGAGCGGAGCCCCGGCCGGGCACTCCGCCCTCCCCCCGGGGCTCCGGCCGCCCTCCCCCCGCGCCCTCCTCCTGGGGCGGCAAAAAAGCCAGAGCCGGCCCTGCTGCTATGCCTGCATCAGGCCTTCATCAGCTTCTTGAATATTTAAACTTAATCACTTTTAAACTTCCCAGCTGCACAGTTCCACAAAACACCCATATCTTATCGTTGTTAAGGAGTTCACTGCTGAGATTGTTCCTTTTACAAGAAATTATTCCAGGGCACTCCGGTTCATTCATTTTTTACCGTGATATAATCCTGGCAGCTACAATTGTGATCTTAGGACAAAGTACCAGAGATATAGGCTCAGCTGTGGATGACATTTATTCATCGGACAATGGAATGCTCAGGCAACACAAAGTGAAAGGCAGATTTTCATCTATTGCAAAGTCTTTTTGGAATTCACATCGCCCTGCAAGTCAAATCAAGGTGCGGCATGAAGCATTTTATTAATCCTTCCTCTTCCTTGAGAGCAAAGTTCAGCTAGCCATTCTCTGGTATTCTCTATGCTCCCTGGAGTCTGGCACATGTATGGATTGCTGGCTGGCAGAGTTGAGGTCTACCATGCAAATGAGAGAATTTTTTTTTTAAATGTTACATAAATAGCCTTTCAGGACTTGCCCCAAACCCACATTTGTTTTATGTCCTGATCCCTGCAATGTCCTGTCTCAGTTCTAGGTACATGTGCACCAAGAGAAGAGGAGAAGCATGCTCAGTAGCCATAGACTTTCAGTGTCGAATCAGAGCCCATGTCCATGAGACCTCCTCCAAGAGTGCTTTACCCGATACCAGCCAAGCAAACCAAGAGCATCGGGGAAAGAATGGAGCAGGCTTTGCCGACAAGCTTCCCCAAATGTGTCCAGTAACAACAACAAAATGCTTTCACAGCTTAGACGGCAAGTCCCACTCAGCACGGGAGAGAATTCCAGCCCAGCACTTTCCCAAGGCCAATGTGCCATGTTCCCAGAGGTCTGTAACTCAGGCAGAGCTGCCCACTCGTCTTCGTCAGGCGGTAAGAGACATCTTCTCGTAAACGGCCGGCAGAAACTGCAACATTGCATAATGTCGGTATTGCAGGCGCTGCGCTGAGCTGCTGCCCGTTCTCAGCTCTGTACAGCAGAGGAGCTTTGCTGCAGTGGGTATCGATCGCAGCTTGTGCAGCTTTCAACCTTAAAACAAGGATTGTTTCCCTATTTGCAAACGGACGGTGAATCTGCTCTTGTCTCTGAAAACCCAAATTAAATAGGATTCGTGCACAATGTTACAGCCATGCAAAAAACTAACTGCCTGGCCGTTGTCAACGCTAATTCTGTATGGGATGCAAGCTAAGCCTCCTAAGCCCAGTCAGGTCAGCTCAGAATTCTTGGAAGCAAAAATAGAGCGATCGGGAGAAATTTTGTCACTGAAGCAGCTGTTCTCTCCTTGTCGTCCTTCCTGGCACTCACCAGAATGCTGGGGAAGCTGCAGGATGATGCACTGAAATAGGAAACCAACAACTGCCTCCCAGATCTCCCAATTCATAACAAACCACAGGCCCTTAATCATGGTGAGGAAGCCAAACTAGGACTTGGATCCTGCTCTTATTCTCTTAGCTGGGATCGATTTAAGAGAGCACAATACCGTATATTTTTGGCAGTCTTTGTTTTAAGCAAACCTTGCAAAAAGCTCAAGCCCAGCGTTTTCCCCTCTACTGGATTTGTCCCTTCCTGTTTGTTCACTTGCTGCAAGAGAGTGGTGCTCGATTTGCAAGGAGGCCACATTCCTGTGGGATTTGCCATGATGCTGATGAAGAATTTCCTTGAATGTCCCCTTGTTGTGTTAGGGAGAACAAAATCCCCCAATCTCCTATCTTCTCCAGACCATTCAATATGTCATGGACTTTTATCAAATCCCCTCTTGTCTCCTTTCTAAGGACAACAACCCCAAACTTTTCAATGTCTCTTTCTAAAAGAATTTTTCCAGGCCTCCTAACCATTTCTGGAATCCTTCTCCAATCTTCTCCCACTCCCACGCCCCAAATTCTGCACTATCCTTCCTGAGAGGGGGTGACCAATGATGCACAAAGTATTTCACATGAGGACACACCATCAATTTACATAATGGCATCACCATTTTTATTGTCATCTGCACCCCACTCCTGGGCCTCCAGGTGTTTCCACAATATAAATGTTAAATAATGGTAATGACTCAATAATCTATGACCAAACTCGTGGTGCCAAGCATACCAAACTGCCTGCCTCCCTCCTAGTCCCATCACTGATGCCCATGCAAGCGACCACTCACTTACCATGCATTCTTTATTCTTTGTATTGACAGCAAGCGCACTTGTTCCCATCTTGTTAAAACACTGTGCGCGCTCAAAATAGTAGCAAAACAAGCATCATTGATTTGTGCTGTAGGTTGGCAGATAGATAACCTGGTAGATGCACCCGTGGGACGGTTCGCTCTTACATACACAGCTGCTGCATTTCTGTGAAGGGAGGAGTGGAGATGGTTCTATCAAAGGAAGAAAGTGACATCAACTTTCATGCCTGACCTTTTCTGGAAGGAGAGCAGATGCTAGTAGGGATGCAGCATTCAGACGCACATGGCAAAGCTGCTCAGATTATGGTAGGACATCTGTGTCTTCCCCTGCCCAGCAGAACTGCCGCATCCTCTCCATTTCACAGCACACTATAGTAACTGAGAGCCTCAAACAATTAATTTATCCTCCATTTCCTTGTAAGGTAGGAAAGTATTAACCACGTTTTAAAGATAGGGAAATGGCGGTACGGATCATGTGACTGGCTGAAGGTCACACAGGAAGAGTGGCAGAACCAGGAATTGAATGCAGGTCTCTGGAGTCCCACTCCAGTGTCTGCACAGCCAGGCCCCTAGAGCAGAGACTGCTCTAGACCCACAGATGGGATTCCAGCTCTTCCACGCAAGTACTGTAGCATGAGATAGTGACTTAGACACAAGCAACGTGAAGCCATTGCCAGTGCACACAAAGCGACACCGAATAATCCTTAGGTTGGGCAAGTGAAAACTGCTCTGCAGCGGCACCTATGGTAATTGGGGCGCTGTGACCTGCACATAAGAACCGTCCTCCCCCCAGGTCCTCGGGGGACACAGACAGACTCAAAGGTCAAGGCTCTGCACCATGTCCCATCATGACCTGGCTGAGTGATGGAGTCCAGTTATTAATTAAGTGGTGGCAGAGGGATTTAATTGGATGCCAACATAGCATCTGAGATGGAAATTCTAAGAGTCCTGCAGCCTAATGGCTAACAGTGCAGTGCAGGACTCAGCTACTGCCAGCGTCTGCTCTCCTGTCCACATTCCCATCTGCAGCTCACAATCCTATCGGGACAGACATCAGTGTAGAGCAGCTCCTCTCAGCATGGAATTGGCAGTAACGTGGCTCCTCGGGGAAAGACAATTCTCTAGGAAGCAACAGAGGGTCCTGTGGCACCTTTAAGACTAACAGAAGTATTGGGAGCATAAGCTTTCGTAGGTAAGAACCTCACTTCTTCTTCTCTAGGAGAACAGGAGGACGGGCTGGGATAATGCTAGTGGCATCTTATAACTCGGCCAAGAGATTAAAGAGATTCAATCTCAGCCACTCTCACTAAGGGGAAAATCTACAGCCAGTTTTCTGTTGCCATCTTGCTGTAAGAACCGTGGAGACACGGCTAGATTTAAATAAGTAGAAACCCACCAGGGGTAAGTAATAGCAGGGGCTGTGATCCTGCTGCTGCAGTGGTTCTCAACCTGTTTACCATCGGGGGCCGCATATGTGGCCCACAACGTGTTATGTGGGCCACA